CACACGCACACACAACAAAACCTTTAACACCCATCTCCTCCATTGTTGCCGCCATTGCCAAAAGCTTGCCGCCGCATCCACCACCTCACAATTCAAGTAAATTATAACTCTAAGCCTAAATTAATTGAATTGAAATTATGATTTTATGATTTTATTTTGATTTATTGGATGTTTCATTTATGAATTTTTTTATAGTTCGTTGGTATAAATTTAGTGTTCTCTTTAATTGATGTGAGTTATTACTTCGAAACAAAATAGAAGATCAATGGTTGAGTGATAATTTGCTTGTTTACATTGAGAATGATGTTTTTGCTTGTATTAAAAATGAAGCTATAATGCTACGTTTTCAAAATATGAAATCTCGTCGTGGACAATTGTGGCTTATAATGTTGTTTTTTATATGAATTATGAATGAACGTTTCATTTCTAATGATATTTTTATCTATAAAAAATTTCAAACTTTTACACTATGACCCCATAAAGTAAGATTTCTGGATCCGTCCCTGCATATATTATGGCCGTTATCTCACTGTTGCATGTAATGTGAGCAAAGGCAAACCCACCTTGCCCTTCAATATGTGGCAATCACATTGGCGTGGCCTTTACCAACTCCAATGATGCATTATATATATGCATATATCTGGTATTGCATGATGTGGTGTACCTAGCTAGCTACTATCTAGGTGCATTGTACCCTGCAACTGGGAAAGTATAGGGTTTAGGGGAAATTGGGGGAAAGAAAAGATAGATGAGCACTCGGATTTTGAGGAGGAGATGTGTAGAGAAGGAAGAAGAAGAAAAAAAAAACATGTTAGAGCATCTCCAACCGATGTGTCAAAAGTGCCACATAGACATTTAACGGCTAGAAATAACATCCCACATCACTCCAACCGATGTGTCAAAGCTGATGTGGAATGAAGGCTGGAGGTTGATATGTTATTTTTGACATCCCAAAAGCAAGATGTCAAATGAATATTTTATTATTTTTTCTTTTCTTTTCTTTTTAATTAAAATGCTTATTATCACAAAACGTCCCTAAGGTTTACGAAACTATCAGATTGCATCCTTAATGTTTTTTTTGTGTCATTCATGGTCCTCAAGGTTAGTATGTGTGATCACAAATGGTCCCTACCGTTAGATTCCGTCAAAAACTCGATTAGTTTGCTGACGTGGTATATATATATCACAAAACATCCTTAAGGTTCACATATCTATCACAAATGGTCCCTGCAAAATTTTTTAATTTTTTAAATTTAAAATTCATAAAATTTTGGTTTTCTTTTTTATATTATTTAAAAATATATATTGTATTTTAAATACATATGGCACTATATTTTTTGAAGATGTGGGCTCCACATATATGCCACATCAACAAACTAATGAAGTTTTTTAAAAATAATTTAAAATTCATAAAATTTAAAAATGAAATAAAATAATAATTTAATTTGACATATCAGGTGGAGTGTAAAGCTGTGTAAGATGTCAAATTGCCACATCAGCCATCAAATTTAAATTTGATGTTTGGTATTTGACATCTCCCTTGGAGATGCTCTTAGAGATGTTAAGTTGGAGTTAGTCAAGATAGGGTTTTTTTTTCCAATTTTTAGTTAGGAGTAAATTGGATTTTTATTTTAAGGATGACATGTCCAGTTTAAAAATCAAGTAGAAAAAATCATAGCAGAGAATTCGGATCCACTATATAGACCTCAAATTAGTAACAAAATTGAACCAAATCTATTTATTAGTATTTGGTTTGGTTTGATAATTAACCTTTATAAGCAATAAATAAATGTTCTATGTTTACCTATATCAAAAATAACTTTAACCTTTTTGAGAATAACTTCACCTTTTTAGCTTTGAAGATGGAGAAACTGAGAGAGCTTTGAAGATGGAGAAACTGAGAGAGAGAGAGAGAGAGAGAGAGAGAGAGAGAGAGAGAGAGAGAGAGAGAGAGAGAGAGAGAGAGAGAGAGAGAGAGAGAGAGAGAGAGAGAGAGAGAGAGAGAGAGAGAGAGAGAGAGAGAGAGAGAGAGAGAGAGAGAGAGAGAGAGAGAGAGAGAGAGAGAGAGAGAGAGAGAGAGAGAGAGAGAGAGAGAGAGAGAGAGAGAGAGAGAGAGAGAGAGAGAGAGAGAGAGAGAGAGAGAGAGAGAGAGAGAGAGAGAGAGAGAGAGAGAGAGAGAGAGAGAGAGAGAGAGAGAGAGAGAGAGAGAGAGAGAGAGAGAGAGAGAGAGAGAGAGAGAGAGAGAGAGAGAGAGAGAGAGAGAGAGAGAGAGAGAGAGAGAGAGAGAGAGAGAGAGAGAGAGAGAGAGAGAGAGAGAGAGAGAGAGAGAGAGAGAGAGAGAGAGAGAGAGAGAGAGAGAGAGAGAGAGAGAGAGAGAGAGAGAGAGAGAGAGAGAGAGAGAGAGAGAGAGAGAGAGAGAGAGAGAGAGAGAGAGAGAGAGAGAGAGAGAGAGAGAGAGAGAGAGAGAGAGAGAGAGAGAGAGAGAGAGAGAGAGAGAGAGAGAGAGAGAGAGAGAGAGAGAGAGAGAGAGAGAGTACAAATGCTTAGGGATTTTAGTTTTTAGTATTAAAGTATTCATATAAATAGAGGGGATAAATATAATAACAAATGATGATAAGCAATAAAAAAATATAATAAAATTATAGCTTAATTAATGCCCTTTGAAACTTCGGTCAAATTCCACTTTGCCACTCCAAACTCAAAATGGCCCACTTTCATTTATCCATTAACTGAGGTTTGGTGACTCACTTTGACCAATGCTGTCAACTCTATCCAAAAGTCTGCTAACTTTGATGACACGGCAGGTGGAGTCCACCTCCACATAGATGCAAATATAATTAAATATTCTAATAATTAAAAATTAAAATTAAAAACATATTAAAAAAAACTACATTTAAACAAAATAAAATTTAAAAAGTATAAAAAAAAAAAAAATCAAACAAACCCATCTCCCCTCCTCCTACCCCTACCGCAGAACCTAGCACCCAGCCCTACAAAACCCTTCCCCTCCTCCCCCACATGCAACCTGATTTCTTCTGACCATCACCCACATAGCCCCATCCTGGGCTTGTCTAGTAATGAACAATTATAACAAAAGATTCAATTATACGAAGAAAAAAAACGATCAATGGTCGGAATGTAAAGTGCGATTAAGGTAAATTATGGAGATAATAAAGTTCAAGAAGCTGAAGATTTCTCTATCCAGCTCCAGCATGATAACAAGTTAAAATAAAAGCCAAATATTTCTCCATTTAGCTATTTTTTACATAAAAATTTACAATATTGCAGAGATTAGAGATTTCTCTTATCCAATCTGTACAGGTTTCAGCTGTTTAGAAGGAAACTAAATTGACTATTTAAACAAGAATCATACGATGAAGATGGTAGAGCAATAAAAGATAAACACAAGAGTTGCCAACTGGTTTCTTGGACATCAAGTTGTCTATTTGAAAAATCATGAAGTTTGTTCAAGTGTTTACAAGACGTTGCGTCTGATTTTTGGAGAGAAAGTCCTCGAGTGCTGATGTTGAGCCTTTATATTTATAGTCAGAAAATATTTATTGATGACGGTGAAGGCTGGAAGATAACACTTGAGTGTTGTCCAAAGTTAGCTGCCGATTTGTCCTCGGGAGTCGATCCATAGGTAGGAGAAAGGATATCTCAAATGAAAACACTAGTTTCAGGGGATATTCTTTTGATTTGTCGTCTTTTCAAAGTTGGAAAACCAGTCGGAAGACGGTTCCTCTTGGTTTTGGCTTCAATTAGCTAGTCTGCTTTCTTGCTGAGAGAGATGACGGTCAAGTCATTCTTAATGGCGAAAAGCCGTCTTCAGAAAGTCACGTGAGTCAACTGGTAATGATTACTTACTTTCCTAACTATAATGTGGGTTAAAGCTGAGGCTTTTTGAGGTATGGGCTTCTAAGGAGATTTCACCAATTTAAAGCCCAATTATGGAAAAGCCCTATTTTTGTTAATTTTGAAAAGAAAAAAAAAACAAACTGGGCCTGGTCCTCATGTAACTTCATTTGAAAAATAAACCAAATTTGGTCCATTTTTCAAATATGGTACAAACAGTGAGAATAAAACTAGAGAGAGATTGAGATTGAATTACACGAGGAGGTGATAAAGGTAAAGGTTGGATGAGGTGGGGTGGTGATTGAATGGGCTGGGGACGTGATCGTCGAGGAGAGTGGGGTGTGGTGGATTGTGTTATCAATTTTTCGGTTTTATAATGTTGTTTTTTATTTTATTTTTTTTATTTTTAATTATTAGAATATTTAATTATATTTTTATCTATGTGGAGGTGGGCTCTACTTGTCACGCCATTAAAATTAACAGACTTTTGGATGGAGTTAATGGTAGGGGCAAAGTGGGTCACCAAACCTCAGTCAAGAGATGAAAGTGGGCCATTTTGAGTTTGAGAGGGAGGCAAAGTGAGATTTGACCAAGTTTCAGGGGGCATTGGTGTAATTAAGTCTAAAATTAATGTAGATGGTTTCTAAATAGGACTAACCAACATGATTATAGTTTCGTTTCGTTCCGTGTGAAAAATATATCAACCTTGTATTCATGTAATTTTTTGCCAACCGCTTATGTACAATTAACATTTCTTCAAGTCCTTTGTTAAATGGCCAATATCTTGTTAGGTGAAACTTCCATTGTTTACCTGTATTTATGGTTTGAGAGTATATGTTGTAAAAATATATATTATTAATTTATTTACAATTTTAAGACATTAATCACTTCTATTTATTGAGATAACCTACTATGTTATCGAAGTAATGGAAGGAAGGATGGATTTCACTCTAGAGTTATAAAATAATTTTTTAAATCATTTTTATTTGACATAGATGATTTTATTAGTAAAGAAAATGTAATTGATTTCTCACAAATTTCCTCTCCAAGTGCAATGAACTCAGTTCCTTTTCTTGCCCCAAGCATCGAGTGTGAGCGATTGCTAGTATAATTAATTGTTTTTGGTCAATGATTGCTAGTATAATAACTCTTATTTTCTTTAGAGTTATTTACACTAACATTCCCTGAGGTTTTCGAATTTTTCACAAAATCCCATGAGGTTTTTAAACGAACACCAACTCATATTTCAGTTTGTTTTCACAAAACTCATTTTCGTTGATTTTTTGTCCAAAGATTGATGATTTTAATTAACAACAAAAAAATATCCAAATGATAAAGTTGGTCTTTGAGATTAGATTCCGTATACATTAATTGAGGTTAATTTTGTGTTTGTATAAGTTTTTTTAAATGAAATTATCAAGTTTTAGACGAACAAACAACAGAATGGGGTTTTGTGAAAACACACTAAAACCTCAGGAGGTGTTCGTGTAATTTTTGAGACATGAAGAAGTTTTGTGAAAACATTAAAAACCTGAGGAGGTGTTAGTGTAAATAACTTTTTTTTTTAGAATACGATAATTTTCTTTCTACACGTACACTTTATATCAAATTTGTTCAAAACTCACCAATTTTAATCAAGTGGCTATTTGTTATCTTCATTATTTTCAAACCCACTCGGTCTGCTCAAAATAATAAAATAAATACCCAGATATTGAGGCCCAAAGTCAAATTAGCCTAATAGCCACTGACATTTTCGGAAAAAACCATTGTTTATATTTCAAAAGGAGCCTTTTATCTAGTTAAAGGCATGAATACCCAGTTTAAAACTCAAAGTTGACTTTGAAAAATGAAAAAGAGTCAAGCGGCAAAAGAAAGGTTAAGCGACCACATTAGATGAGATTTAAACCGTGAGACTCATTAGCATAAACTTATTACGAAATACTCATGCTTAGGGCAGTTCACAGCCAAAGCACGAAGAGTTTTCGAATGAGGTTTTCAAATAGCTTTTGAAATCTGCTTCTATTTTAGAAATATACTTCACCCATTGAGAATTTTGTAGATTAAAACTTTTACTATGCATTCTTTACCCTGTGAAATCTAGATTATTTTTTTTCATTGTGAGATTTTGAAAATGATTTTTGAAATATGCTAAGAGTTGAATGGGCCGGGCCGAGCTATCCCTATCTTTGATAAACTAAGTCCAGTTCCTATCTATGGGCCAATTATTTTCGGGCTTATGAGCGGGCCAATGGACCGGGTGTATGTGGTGGCCCCATCAAATGGGTCATTTTCTTGACATTTTTTGCTTATATTTTTAACATAAAATTAAAAATTTACCTCTCATGATAATTAATTGTCATGAAAAATAGTTTCAATTATATTGAATTAAATTTAATAACTACTTTGTCAACAATTATGATTTATAAGATTAAAAACAACTCTTTATATATTAAAGAAAATTATATAAAAAAACTCGTATTTCTGTTAATATTATCGGATGTAGAATAGATCTGCTTCTGCCTGTTGAAGAATGAGCTGGTGACTCATAGGCCGTGACTTGATTAAGAGAACCCACCGAAGCCATAGCAAAAATAGTGATTTGTGTATCTCTCTCAATGATGCTATTGTTCCATACCATTATGGAAGAAGACTCGGGTAAAACATGCACTTCATCGAGAATGAAAAAAAAAAAATCAACCCCTAGCACATTTAGGTTTTGATCTTCGGCCATCCTAGTCCTCATATATTTCCTTTAACAGATGCAAAAGGTGATACTTCCTATATTGGCAAGAAAATATTTTCTTTATGTGGTAAAAAAAAATACATATTTTTTTGAAATGAGGTCCTCTGTTATATGACCTATGCCTCAAAATTTCTTTGCCAAGCTACATGAAACAGATTTTTGTAAGTCCACCGAAAAAGCTACTTTCTCATCGATTGAATTGTTTTTAGGCCCCTTATTGCTCGATTTCATAGGTTTCGCTACTTATTACTTCTTGGGTCGTAATTCTCATGTTCCACCTAAGTTGAAAGGGGACTACTAAGTTCTTCCCTACTTTTTTTTATATGTGAGATTGATTTTATTTTACAACCGTACTCGTTTTTTTTTTCTTTCTTTTGGTAGTTATATTGCATGGCCTAATGCCAGTCGTGTTTTTCATGCAGTTTCGATTTTCCTAATTTTATAAATAGAGTTGCAACTTCTTTTATTTCGAAGACACATTTTTAATTACGTCAATTTTTCCAAAGAAAAATAGACTTTGACTAGATGATTGGGGATATTTAGGGTGGTTTAACTTCATCGCCACCATCTAAAATATCTCAAATCGTGCATACATAAGTTAGGCCAGTTAGTTATGACAATGAGCCTGCACATTTGCATAATCTTGAACGGATTAGTTCGAGTCCCTCTACCCGTATGTTAGAGTAATTTAGATTAGCACTCGTATAATTTATTTTTTGTTTTGTTTTTATAAATAAAAAAAAAAAAAAAAAACCAAATCGTGTGCAAACCACATGCTATTTTTGTCGACTAAAGTGATAAAATAACAACGTGATGTCGAATTGCAACATATCCAAACTATAGGGGCAAATTCGGTAAAATCACAATTGCAGGGCCTTGATGAAACTTGACCCAAAATACAAGGGCCATTGGCGAGCCTTTCTGTTTTCCTATGAAAGCGCAACCGTCCATTTTGTATTCGCGGAAAAATTTTAAGATTAACAAAAAACGTCTACACTTTAAAAAACTAAAAATGATTCTTGTAAGTTGAATACTAATGGAAAAGACTCACTGCGATTCCTATGTTTACACTCTCAACACACCCAAATCCTCATCCCTCTGAATCTATGTGCATTTTTTTTATCGCGTTCTTGATTTCTGGGTTCCCAGCCCCCACCACCTCATACCGCCGCCGCCGCCGCTTATGTGAAGTAATAGTTCGAATTTCAAGTAAGTTTTAAACCCTAATCCCCAATTGATGATTTTGTATTTTTTAACTTCTCATGATATTTTTATCCGCCGAATCTGATGCATACTGTCCAAATTTGATACTTTTATGTGTGCATTCATCGGTCTGATACTTTTATCTCCCGAGTCCGATGTATAGTGGATCCACACTTAAATCTAACTGCATGAGTTAATATGAGTCCTGTTTTCAAATCTTTAAAGTTTGTGTTTTCTGTTAAGCATGGCCTGCGTGAGTAGTAGAGATCTGATTGTCATGGAATGCGTACCATTTTTGACATGTTTGCTATAACTTCTCACAAGTATACAAGAATACAAAGCAGTTAGATATGCATCAATCTTGTCTAAAGATTGTTTATTCGCAACATAAGTGTTCCAAGGGTTTTTCTGTGGAGGCTTTCGTTAGTCTTCTGATTGATCTGATCCACCAATTTAATGGATACATATACATATATGAGCATGAGGATTGATCACCTGTCGGGTTAAAAATATTCTCCATGAGCAAGCGCTTGTAATTTAGCTTAGGCAATGCTGCTCTAAACTGTTTCCCAAGTCCCAAATTGGGTATTTGGGGTTCCTCAAGTTTCATTTAATACTGAATACTCTTCTCAAAATTTGGCTTTTAATATGCTTTGGATTTGAAGAGGAAAAATAATAATAATAAGAGAGCCGATGGATTGGAGATTGCGTTCTATCTACCCTAAATAATATGTGATTTGTGCTACCCCGCTTTTGTTAGAAAAGAGGAGGAGGAGGAGTTGTGCAGCCCCACTTAGAATCCTTCATTGAGTATTTAGATTTATTTCCATCCAAACTTATGAACTTTTTTAACTTTCCATCCCAACCCCATCAGCCCATGAACCCCTCCCCTCTTCACCACCAGCAAACCCTTCTTCTTCTTTGTCTATCTCTCCCCTCCTTTTTCTCTTTTCCTCTTCTCTCTTGGCAATGGTGGTTCCCATGTGTTTAAGATAGACCAGGAGATTGATGTACCTGTCTAGGGGATGAGGGATAGGATATGTCTGTGTAAAATCTGTGCTTTTTTACTTTGAATTTTTTTTTTTCCCAAGACTTTATTTTAAATTAGATATGTTTATCAGATGCCTTTCTTTTAAGTTTTGCTCCATTAATTCTTTTGAACTTTAATTTTTTACTTTTCAACAGGACAAGGATTGATATCGATTTGAAGTCTTGATGGCTGACTGGTCAGATCTTCCTCGAGAGCTTATTGTCTATATAGCTAAAAGCATGGGTTCCTTGGAAGAGTTCATTGTTTTTGGTGCTGTTTGCAGATCATGGAGATCAGCTGCGACCAAAGAAAACTACTTTGCATGTGAATTACCATCAACACGTCAAGTTCCCCTCCTGATGCTTCCAAAGAAGAAGAGTGCTACCACCTGTAAGTTTCACAGTCTAACAAAAGGTAAGCTTTGCGAACTTGATCTGTCCGAAATTGAGGGCAAGATGTGCCTTTCTTCATTAGGATGGCTGCTGACTGTATCTAAAGATTTGAAATTTAGTCTGATACATCCTTTAAATCATGCCCGAATTGAGCTGCCGGATGGACATCCTAATTTGCCACCCGCATTCTTTGAAGCCATAAGGAAGTTTGTCTTATCATCGAGCCCGTCTTGGACGTCGAATTATATAGTCATGGTCCATGGATTTAGCAGTTTGGCATTTTGCAGACCAGGAGAAAATTGGATAAAAGTAAATTTAAGCACACCAATATTAGTTGATCTAACTTATTACAAGGGACAGTTTTATGTCGTGGACTTAGATGGTTGTGTTTCTGTTTGTGAGATTGAAGATGGCGCTAATCAAGCAAAATTAAGGGTTGTTGCTCCAAACTTTCCAAAGGAACCTTTCGGTCCTATGATGAAAAGCCGTAAATTAATTTATTTGGTGGAATCAGCTGGAGCCCTGTTGTTGGTTTTGTGTTTGTCCAACCCTAAAATCTGTGATTCAACTACTGGCTGTAAGGTTTTCAAGGTCCCATTTAGTACTAATGGCAATTCATGGGCAGACATGGAGGTGAAGAATTTGGGGAATAGATCTTTGTTCTTGTGTACAAACTCTTCTTCCATCTCTGTTGAGGCCTCAGAGAATTCCAGATGGAAGGCTAATTGCATATACTTCATGAATAATAAACATGTGTATTTGAGAGTAGACATGGACATGGGTATTTTTAGTATGGATGATGGACAAATTGAGCGACCCTTTGACAAATCCTATAATGTCTGTTATAAAGGAAGGCATTTTGAGACATCGCATTTGTGGATTGAACCAAGTTTCTAAGCAGGGGTCATTTGCTAATTTTATTATTTTTTAACTTAATCGATGTAATTGTTCGACTAAGTAATTTACCTCGTTGTCACAGATTAATTGGTTTTTTTTATTCCATGTAATTGTTCTCTCTGTTCCTCATGGAGGTGTGTTTTGCTTTGGGCAATATAATGTTGTTTCTCTTATAAAATTATGATTTTTCAATTAGAATGATGTATCAAAATGGTTGTCCTTGTAACCCTTGCTATTTGTTCTCTCCCTCCCTCTGCTCTAGCCGGAGTTTGGGTTCCGGCATTTTGTTTTGGGGATTTGGAACATTTAGATTTACTACTTGTATCTAGATTCTAGACAGAAAAGGGAAACAAACCAACAAACGGTCATAGCTTTGGGCTGTAATGTCATGGTCTGCTAGTTTTTGAACTTGAATTCTGTTTAAACATGTACGGATTAAGTGCAGGCTGGTACCTTTTCTTTGTGCCCTGGCCTGTAGTTTTTCCAGATTCATGAGTGATGTGATTCTTCATGGGGTCTTTTAGCTGGTAAGTTAACTGGCATAATAAATTTATTATGCAATGGATCCACGGATTTTGAGGCTGCTTTGGTTACGTCCCATCTCCCCTTCCCAAATCAAGCAAGGGAGACTGGGAAGGAGCTTGTAGCTCAAGTAAGCCGTTATCCCTGTACTTGAGGTCCTGTGCCTCATTGCACCTCAAATCTTCAAGCCTCATCTTAACAACCATTTTCAAGAACCCAACACAACACAACTGAGAGACTAACAAATACAGCTAGGGAAGTCAAGACTCGAGAGTGAAGAGCTATTGAATGAGAAAGAGAACATCGTTTCATCTCAGTTTACAATTTTGTCCTCTCTTCTTGTCTTTTATTTACTAATTTTGCCCTTTCAAACTTGCGTCAATTTGCTTGAGTCGGTTCTACTGGTCAGCCTAAGTTACGGTTTTGCCCTCCTTTTAAAATAATAATAATAATAATAATAATAATAATAATAATAATAGTTTGTGCTAATATTTTTTTGGTTGGTAAACCATAAAAACTTAGCAGCAATGCCCCGAATCATTGTTTGTATCCCGCATTATCTCCTAACTAAATAATTTGGTTTTTTTAGTTTTCAGTTTTTATCAACGCTCAAAAAATTCTAATGTGTTCCATTTGTCTTAATTGACTCTTTTTAAAAGAATAATGAACCCACCAAACTTATTTTCCTATGCAACTTCTGCGAGAAGTTTTTCTTAAAACATTTTAAATTTATTTTAGAATTAAAAAAGATAATGAGTAGTTGTGTTCCATAAAAATAAGAACCATTATCTAATTTTTCTTTTAATTTTAATTTTTTTAATTTGAAAAAATATGAATTTACCATATTATCCTCATTTAATTAATAATTTCAATTCTTAATATTTTCATTAATTAATGGCATTTTCTGGTATTTTGAATGTTTTACCATTCTCTGCCTTTTGCTTTATATATATATATAAGTATTTAATTATGATTTTATCTTTGTATAAAATTACAAAAAAGGACAATTCAATCATTCATTGCCCCTCCCCTAAAAATACAATTTGTCATGAGCCTCCATGAACAACACAAACAATTCTCATGTTCCACTTAAGTTGAAAGAAGACTAATAAGTTCTTCCCTACCTTTTTTTTTTTTTTATAGTGTGAGATTTATTTTATTTTACAGCCATACTCTTTTTTTTATCCTTTTTTTTTTTGGATGAGATCCAAGGGTGTCCACCGCCGAAAGTAGTGACTAATCCCTTTCGCCGCGGGAGCTCTCCCAAATGAGGTAAACAGCTGGCCACAAAATGCGCTCCATTCCCATGAGCGGGGATCGAACCCCCAACCATGCGCTCCTTTCTTTTGGTACTTATATTGCATGGCCTAATGCCAGTCATGTGTTTTTCATGCAGTTTCGGTTTTGCTAATTTTATCAATAGAGTTGCAACTTCTTGCATTTCAAAGACACATCTTTAATTTCGTCAATTTTTCCAAAGAAAAATAGACTTTGACATGGATGATTGGGGATATTTTGGGTGGTTAGGACAATGAGCCCACACATTTGCATGATCTTGAAACGGGTTAGCACTCGTATAATTTTTCTTTATGTTAAAAACAAATACCACATGCTATTTTTGGCGACTAAACTGACAAAAACAACAACGTGATGTCGAATTGCAACATATCAAAATTATAGGGGCAAATTCGGTAAAATCACAATTGCAGGGCCTTGATGAAACTTGACCCAAAATACAAGGGCCATTGGCGAGCCTTTCTATTTTCCTTTGAAAGCGCAACCGTCCATTTGTATTCGGGGTTAAGATTAACAAAAAGTCTACCCTTTAAAAAATTAAAAATGATTCTTGTAAGTTGAATGCTTCATGGAAAAGACTCACTGCGATTCCTATGTTTACAGCATTTGCCACTAAGAATTCATGATCTTGAATGGAAACATTTCCGGGGGAAAAAAAATAATTAAACTTATGAACAAGAAAGCAAAGAATTATTAAAATGACTTTTCAAGAAATTCTTAAATGAAAATCTAGGGACCACATTTGGTTTGACAAATAGTGGGTTATGCTCAAGAAGACAGAATACCAGCAGTCAGTGTGTTTGGCCAAAATACTGAGGAATGTGATTATGTACCACTGGTATGGTTGTAGGGGTTCCAGCCTTCAGGTCTGAGTGTTGATGAAACGGCTTTCTGTTAACTGAGGAATGCTTAGGTTAACCTGGGAAGGAAGAAAGTAGCCTCACTTATCTAACTCTGCACTCATACAAGCATACAGTATTCCATTGCTTTCGAACATATACCTGATGGGCTTAGAAAAATCACGCATGTTTGAACAGTTTCATGCTGAGCCAATGAAAGTATACAGCAACCACAAGGACTGGGAGAGTCAAGGGCACCAAAAAGCAATAATAACTATTATCAGACAAGAAACTAAGTTAGAAAATGATGAAGAATAGGAACTTCAGTACGTTAGTTAATGACAAAAATCCAGTAAAAAAAGAAGGTCATGTTAAACTTGAACTTTCCAAATCAGCTTGATAGGTATGGGCACCAAGTCACTTGCTAACACCACTCAAGAGTAAATAAAGCAACTGTCAACCCAAATGTTATTTTGTATAACATAAAAATCCAATCATGTCATAATGGAACACCAACGAATTTCTGATAATCACTCAATACCTTAGGCTTTCTTCTCTATATAAAAAGATAAATATACATATATGAACAACAATATCCCTATCTCTTGCCATGCACAATTCAACCAGCCAACACAAAAGATTGATATATTGACGAATAAAGAAAACTGTCCCATTTCATGGCCAGAGCAAGTTCAAAATTTTCCTTTGTGGATATCGCTCCACATTGGGATTTTGTACAACATGCAGTGACTGATAATTTGGACTTTTTGGCTACCGTCGAAGCTGACAGTTAAGATCTTGCACACATTGATTTTATTTTGCAAGCATATGTGTCATCTTATGTGTTAGCTTTTGTGGATTTCTTGGGTGCTTGCTTTATTGAGCACAATAAGCTAATACATTTTCTATCTACATAATTTAAAGGATGGCAAAACAACAGTAATTTCAGTCCCTCAGAGTCATTAGTGCTGAGACGCTATATTTGGATGTGTGATCTACCATCTATCGAGTCTTGACTATTATGAGTGATGCCTAAAAGCCCCTACTCTGATGCCTACATTTGTGTGGTCAATCTTCCAAGCTCTTTTTCTTTATACTGACAGAAGAAAAAAAAACAATATATGCTTACCCAGAAAAAGAGAACACCATATGGAGATAAATTACATAAATTGGCATTTTTTTTCTTATAGGTACCCAAATGTTATTATTGGATCGCTACTGCATCAAAGATATAGGTACTTGCATATTGCAGCTTAATAACTTATAGAAGAACCTGTTCTTTTTCCCTAATAAGTATGTCAAATTATGGCAATTTTGTTCTGGAATGAATGATAAATGGAGTTTAAGCTAGTACATTGGATTCTGGGACTAATTTTGAATATGAATTAGCATTGAATAGTAACAGAAGAAAAAAAACACATATATATAGGGCAAAAAATACAAAATCACTTGGCTGAACCGAAAACAAGCAATTACCGGTCATTTTGTATGGCGGAGAGGATAGTATTATCTGAAGGTGGAAGAAGCTTGGATAAGACGGTAGCATAGAGAAAACCCAGAAAGAAAACAGAGCCGGATGCGATGAAAAACCATCCCCAAATCAAATTCTGTTGCATTTTACTTTTATCTTCCGGCCACTCTACACTTACATCTGCATCCAAAAAAAACCCAAAATTCGATTTTTTTGGGTCTGGTGCTCGTATGAGTAGAAGCGCCAAGTAGAAGGAGGAGAAGCCGAGTGGAGAAGAAGAAGATGCGAACCTTTGCGTCTTTGTATTTGTATTTTTCGCTTCTACCCACAGTATATTTGATCAGTTCACCCATCAAAACTTGAAAGCCCCATTTTGCCCTTTAAAACTAAATGAACAACTCCAACATAAAAATCCTAATTTTTTGAACTTTCTGAGGGAAGTTTAAATCTCAGCCTTTCATTATTTCATTCAACGGTTATCATTTCTCATCCGCTATGCAAACTTGGAAACTTAACATTGATTTTGTTGTCCTTATGGAAACTTGGTATGACTAGTGAAGTTAGAACATACCGGAAGCATATGTAAAGTGGGGACTGAAACCAAATTTAATTACAAGGTGCAAAAATTAAACTCAATAAACCATTCAAAGTTCAAACCGGTGTGGCCAGTTTCTTCCAAGAACTCATTGACGGTTAACTCAATGGAACGAAGTGTATTTGTACAGAATTTATCTGCCGAATGATTCAATATAGATTCACACATTGGAAAGAATAATATAACTCATTACCAGTCGTAACGTACACCACCACATCACAACTCTAAGGGCTCCTGTACTGCTTAAATTTCTCCATGAGAATAACTAGCAAGCCCTCGCCCCCAAAGAGGATAATAGTTGCACAAGATGGGTAAGGTTACGTTTTCTGTTAATCCCGTGCAATCAAGTATAATATAATTCTTAAATTGTGGAGTAACGTTTGGAAAACAAAAATACATGTTCATTTGGTTCTAGGATGGATTTACCTCTTTCCTTTTCCAAATCTAATGGCTGGAATGACCATAGATAAACGCTCAGATCAAATTATATACACGTACACGCTCAATGATAGGGTACAAAGTATAACACCATTTTTTAAGAGATGCACCACCAAAGTGCTCAAAGAGTTGTCTCCACATACATTGCCTTAAGGGGTTGATTGGTGCCTAAATTGTTGAAATCCAATCATTTACAAGCACTAACCCATTTTTAAATTATCATCCAGGAAAAAACTGCACAGCTTGCCTCTACTTCAAGGTTTTTCATCACCGAACGCTTGCCTCAGCCAACCTTGTTTGTCCCCGAGCAACAAGCAATTCGTAATCCTGCATATTTCAATACATGAAAGTTCAACATGCAAGCAGAGGAGAGAACAGAAATTACATAGGCTTTGTCATCAAATACAACTCAACGCTAAAAGGACTGGAAATACTGAGGGCTAATTTCGTAACCTTTTGTCTTTGGTTTGTAATAAAGATAGAGAAGAAAAAGGAGAAAAAAGTGAGGACCGAGAAGATTGATGTAAAGGAGAGAGGTGACACCTCTCTCATTTCTCATCTACCTTAATCGTTTATTTTATATCTTCTCTCTATCTCTTTAACCAAAAGACAAAGATCTGAACACCAGAACCAAAACCAAAATTGCTATAAAAAAAAAATGCCTAAACTACATGAAAACAACAATAAACTCATTCCTAAGGCATTTCACCCACTTAGGAAGTTCTTAGTGCAGCACAGGAATTATGTGACTGGTAATTATAGACAACGAAAAGATTTCAATTCAAGTAAGTGCCAAAATTTCCATCACTAAATAATGAAAAAATAAAAGTGGGATGACTCCTGTAAAGTGAAACCAGCAAAAAAATGGAGGCAAGTGATGCACGTTAAATATTCAAGAGATCTTTTTCGTTTTTCACAGACCATGTTTGTAAGATATCAGTTTTAAGTAAATTCAGACATAGATGAACATGAGTGTTCATCATGCCATATAATTTCCAGAGTCCTGATGGAAATTACCTGTACAATTGCTTGTGCACAAAGTTTCCCTGACAGAACAGCACCTTCCATTGAGGCTAAATACTTTTGTTTTGTATAATCACCAGCTAAATAGAAACCCTCTAGGGGAGATCTTTGCAAGGGACGGCAAGGTTCGCAATCTGGTACAGTTTTGTAAACCGACCTGAGACATAAATCAGTCATAATCAGTTAAAGCATAAACACCCATAACCAAGTCAACCATGGGCACGTCAGGCAGTGGCCCAATGGTCATGCCTCCTTATTCCTAGGGCATAGTTCTGGATTCAACTGCTTACGAAATGGCAATGGAACTCCTTATGCAGAGTAGTCCCGCCAAATCAACAAGTAAATAAATTAAAATCCAACTCTTCCAAGTGAATTTGCTGCCCCGTAGTTTCCATTAAAGTTTTGAGCGAAAAATTAATAGCTAGAAATTTCCACATTATATATAAAAAGGAAAATTTCAAATAGGCGGTATGAGACAATATGTTAATATTTCAATCAAACAAGTTCACGTGTAACACAAAGAACCCCTGGAATTTATTTCCATTGCGTACTGGCAACATGATTTTTTCAAATAATATTCATAAACATTCATTAAGATTCCAAACTTATGGCTTTAAATTCAAACCTTGGTGTTTTCACAACATGGTACTTCAAAATCTTTGCTTTGCTTTGATCTGCAGCTATCTCATCAGGAAAGAGTTTTGCAAGTTCTTTGAGTGTAGCATCAATAATTTCTGAATCACTGCATGAAATCCATTCTTCTGCTGGTGCAAAAACCAACTCCAGCATAGACTGGTTTGGATTGTAATATTCCTGCAATGAATTACAATGAATCATGTCCCCAACCCAAAAGTAAACTAAAATGAAAATGAAACTAAAAGGAATAGAAATGAGTTATACTTGATACTAAGAGAATATAATGAAAATCCATTAACTGATTTTTCCTGGATAAGGAAAACTGATCCAATATTCTTAGTACGTTGACATAAAAAAATTATGCAGGAGGTAGCGTGGAACAATATCCATCCATAAATGAATAGGTCTATAATTCATGCTTATGTGCTTCATCCATGGTTCCATAAAAACAATATTTCTCATTAAGCAAAAGAATATGTTATTCTCTTTCCTTTTAAATTTCTTTTGTGGTAAGAAATTTCAAAAGAATCAGTACAAGAATAGTAAACAAGGATAAAAATTATATCATCTTTCTCTCATAATTGAATGATATACTTTCTCAGTCTTTTCAATCTAAATTCTTATTGCACAACCTAGAGAATTGTCATCTACCTCTAAAACAAATTATTTATGGTTTATGTTTAAGTCCCTAGACATATGCTTGTAGCTCACCTCTCTCATGACTAAAAAACCTCCAATAAATCAATAATAATATATAAACCATTGTCACACTATTATAAACAGGGTCATGACCAGTCAGGACGCAAGTATTATTCTATACAAAACAAATTCAAATTTTGAATGATTCAAACAAAATGGTTATTTAACATTGAATGAGAAAAAGAGACAATATTGTTCCTTTTTCTCAAAATGTTTTCAACTTTGTTGCTATTAAAATGTTTGTCACTATATGCAAGATTTTGTGTTTTAATATTAGTTCCTCTAAAGATACGAAATGTATAGTTACATTATTAGATGCATGGTAGCTAGAAGTTAAAAAGAAAAATCAAACAATATCTGCTGTGCTTACTAATAAGGAATAAATAACAGATTTTACCTTACATGTTACGGACATGTCAGCATAGACACTTAAAAGAGGACTTCTGCATTGGGAGAAAAAAAAGAACATGTCACAGATGAAACAATACTGGCACAATAAAAAGAGGTCAAATGCAGCAGACAGCATCATAAGAGTTTGGATACATTATACACCAAATAGGTTGTATTTTTTGTAGTTTTCTTTTTAAATGAAAATATTATCTAAACAATCCCAAGTTTGTCATTAAATTATAGATAAATTATAAACTTGGGATTGTTTAGATGATATTTTGGCCTGGACGGGATGTCTTATTTTGGCCTCCATTGTGGATTGAAAGAAGATAAATTATATCACCAACTAAAGAAGATAAATTCTTTCTAACTTCAAATGTTTTGGCCTGGACGGGATCTCTTATTATCTTTATGCAGCCCTTACGATATTAGAACCAACATTTTGTCATATATTATCCTTGGCTGAGTAACTTTAACATGGCCAGTCAGAATGTCAAGCTGCAAGCAGCAAACCTCAAAGAACCATGAGATACACACAGAAAGTAAGCATCACTGTAATATCTATGCTAAACTAAACAACTAAGTATGAGCAGGACCTGCTAAAAAGTAGATGATCATATGTGTTCTTCAGCTTTCTGTCAAACCTGTAATTAAAAACAATTCATGGCATCAGATTAGCATGCATTACTAACATATTACTTCAGTGAAACAGAGAGTAACTTCAGACCGAAATAAAATAACTGAGAGAAATTGAGTAAAATAAATAAATCAGTAGCAGGTTCCACATTACATTTGGAAATCACATTTTTGGGCCATTCTAAGCAATAAAACCTGAAAGGTATGGCTTTCATTGGCAATGACTGATTGACAAAGACCAAAGTGAGAACCCCAAAGAGGTTAAGAAAAGTATCCATATCCAATCCCAATCTCTTGTGATAAAACTTGTATTAACTTAAAGAGACGTCCTAAACTATATAAATTTTTTCTCATTTATTGAAATTTCCAGGCCAAGAAAAAATTGAAGAAAGAAACCCATAAATTAGGCCAGTTGTCAATATACACCATCCAGTTCTATTTTCTGATCATGAAAAATTAAGGAATCAATACTTATTAAGTGAGAGAGAATGTGCATGTGTTCGTCTGTGTGTGTGTGTGTGTGTGTGTGTGTGTGTGTGTGTGAGAGAGAGAGAGAGAGAGAGCTATTTGCATTATTGTTTAATATCAGTTAATCTCCACTCACCATATGTGAACATTGATAACTGGAACGCCAACTAGTTTCTTCAATTTCTTGAAATATGGGATCTCTTTCCAGTTATCAGGCAATAGAAGCTTTAGGATATCAACTGTTTATAAGAAAACCAAACAACCACCTTAGGAAAACTGTAATATACACTTAAGTTCAACTATATTATCTAAAAAGAAAATTTGTGCCACACCTGGAGTGGCGAATACATAGGCATCTGCTTCAATCATGCTCCCATTATTTAGTACAAAACTCTTCACGGTCCCATCGTTATTTAGCTCAATTTTCTGTATTCTGGAATTAAT